AGAAATTTCTAATCAGCATGAGTGTGCCTGAAAGTCACCTAACTCGATCATACACAAATATGTTATACACAGAAACTAGGCATATTTTCCAACCGCTATAATAGCGTTATTTTTTATTAAAGGTAGGTACAGCATGGACTTATTTCCTATTGTTTAGTAAATACAAATGACTTAACTTGATAAAATAAGCTGGAGTCTGGTAATATGGCAGTGCGGGTTTTAAAAGAGATTAAATCATTCCAATTTCTTACAAAACACTGAAAAAAAAACGAGGAGAGTACATAAATACAAGATATTGGACTGATTCTTAATTAATTTAATATTTGAGTAATTAGAAGAGCTTTAGTGAAGGGCTTGTAGTAGAAATATGGAAATCTTTTAGCTTCACACCAAGAAGACAAATAGCGAAAACGGATCGCTGCAAAGTACTTCTTCAAATATGACTGTACAGGACTGCTTAACAACCGATCTTTCTTTCCCACTATCCCTCTTTCCTCTATCTATATCACTCCCTTAACTCTCTCCTTATCACCATAACATGTTCTATTAATTGCCTTTCTGACCACTTCTTCAAAGCCTGTTTTTGTCTGCTACAGACAAAGCAGAGTAGCACAGGAAGCATTGAATTATTTTTAAGGGAATAGTCCCTGATCCCGGATCCTAATATTAATTTAAAACTTTGCAGCCAAATACATACCCTTAGGAATGTTGAAGTCGAAAACTAAACAAGACTTTTAAACAAAGTTTTTATCAGTTTTCAGTAGAACGGTCATTCATTAAAGTTACTAGCGTATGCAACATACGAATAATACGCAAATTTTTTCTCATAATGCAATGCATATTGGTTGAATTGAAAAAAATTGTTGATGTATTAATTCATGTTCACTTTGGTTCGGTAGCCAATTAGAGAACGTAATCTCACCTTGGACAAACGAACTCAAAAAGTGCAGCTTCCATTCTTTGTGTTTTCCAATTAAGTTCAGTATATTTTGCAACATCCTGTAACAGCAGCTATAACATCATTTTTTTGTGTTACGGTATTGATGTGTCTACTCTCAAATACTCAGATATGGATCCTCACTCTTCGTTACGGTTTTCGCTTTGTTCAATTTCCTTTGTGGTGTTTGATGCAGCTTATATACCACATATTCTACACTGTGGTATCAGCGTTTGGTCGAGTGTTTGTATGTATTGGTGTGGCAGAGAAAGATATACACTTATCTAAAACGCCTCTTGGGTAATTGTGCAAATATGCAGATTTCGGGTAACGGTGTGCTACTAACACCTTCTACTTGGTTTTTACCGAAATAGACCGAACAAAGCATTTCAACAGAACAAATTTTCCTCCATTTCACAATGCGGCAAACAAATCTTTTTCACACTTCTGTAAACGAACCAAATTCAAAAGAATATCGAATTTATAATGGCGCCGCTGTGTTTGTATAATTATCAAAGTGCGAAAATTTCAGTACTAGTGTTTTTTACAATATAGACAAATTATGGTACAATAACTGGACAAATTAAATTAGCAACCAGAAAATTTTCGGCACTTTAAAAGCTTCACTTGTAAGAAAATAGATATTTCCTATTATAAAATTACAGCCGATACCTTCTTTCTGTTATTGCTTCAGATTAACAAATATTATTATGAAATGATATAATTTTGGCTGGATTTTAATCAGGGGCCATTCTTTCTGAGAGGATCACCTACGTGACCAAATGCTTATTAGAAACAATTTGGACGAGCTCCCATTCGCACGCTAAACGTTTTTTTGTTCCGCAATGCATCGTCAATTTGGAGTGAAGACATCTTTCTCATCATCAGTATATAGTATGATCTATTTTTATTAACTGAACGATTTTGGTGCACCTATAGAACACATTAAGTACCAAATATCTTTCCATATTATACGATATTTCGAAAAAACGTCAATGCCTGCGTTAGTTGGACATTCCAAGTGTAGGCAGGTCCTTCTCCACCTGGTCTTTCCAACGGAATAGAGGTCTTCCTCTTCCTGTGCTTCTCCTAACGGTTACTGCGTTGAATACTTTTCAGTCGGACGTCATGAGCTGTAATCATCGACAATACATAAAATGTTGATTTAGTTAACATCGGATGGATTAAGTTCGACAAAATGTTTAAGTAGACTTGATGTATCCTCTCTATTAATTATTCATTATTAAAAGACTATATGCGGTCCGACGCTAATCCTGTTTTCTTATACTACTATTGATTGAACATACTCTCGCATGGGCGATGACAACAGCTGAGAAGTTGGGGTTACAAGCTGTCGAGAGAAAGACTCTATGGAAGATTCATGTTTTTTTGCGCATTGACATCGGCGTATAATGCGGTCGATGAACGATGAACTGTAGGAGTTATATGACAACGTTGACATAGTTCAGCGAATTAAAAGAGAGCGGCTACACTAGGTCATGGTCCGAATTGAAAGTATTCGACGCAGTACCCGCCGGAGAAGCAGAGGAAGAGGAAGATATTCACCTTGTTCACTCCAATCTCGAATTGGCGCCTAGCAGCAAAAACAAAAAAACTCGGCTATAATCGCGTAAGCGGTGTCTACGCCAATAAAGAAGAAGCTTTCTATTATAGGGATAATTTCATTGCATTTCTTTCTGTATCTTCAGTTAGACATAAATACGGACTTTTCTTCATTCCTCTATGCGGATATCTGAAAAAATCATCTGATTTAAAAAGTTAGAACTGAAATGCTATGAAACTTAGATTATTGGAAATAAAATTTTGCAACAATTTTTAATATGAAAGCGAGAGGTTTTACCTAAGGCGTGAAACCCTTTTAGTGTTAACATTTCATATCACTAAAAGAAGAACATTAAACCGATGGAAAATCTGTTTAGCTGATTATATACTTATATCTTCCCATTAGTACACCGTAATGTCAAAAAGTATGAGGTGCTTGAATCCACAAAGACGGGACAGTCAATAAAAAAGCTTATGGCTTAATGATTGAACAATGATGATTTAAACCCATATACTATAAGTAAGAACAGTTCTGTCAACGAAGCTCCAAACACGTTAAGAAATAGTAGTTTGGCTGTTGCGACTTTGTATTTATACACAGATAGTTCCCGACATAAACCTTTTTAAACCTGTAAAGTTTTGGCGGTTGCAGTAACAATGTGAATATTGATATCGAGTATCGATAGGTCAATATTCTAAATGCGAAAAGGACTTCTTTAAACTTTTTGATCATAAGTCTGGCAAACATTTGTTCTTTAAAATCTGGTAGTTTTGTAGTAGATAGTTATACTATAATAGATGTGACAAAATTTAAGTGTATCATATCACTCAAAAAACAATTTCTTGTACATCAGATTAGTTGAACAGAATAACTTGCAAGTATGCACAAATATTCACTAATTACATCTAAGCCAAGTACTTACCTCGAGAAACTTTTTAAGGTTGTAAATCGATTTTGATTAAAGGCAAAAAATTGAGGGGTTTTGCAGAACATGCAGCTATTTAAAAAAAAAAAAAAATTATTGAAAATTATTCAGTGAAAACTTTATGTGTGTTTCACACAAAGTGATCAATTACAAATTGAAATTTGTTACGGTGCCACAAACAGGTCGCTCCAATATCGGTCGGCGTTCTTTTTGGAATCAACAAACATTGGCAACCCAAGGCACATGACCGAGTACTCCCAGGATGCGATGACATACTTGCGCAATTATGGATCGCGATCAATCAGCAAGCGATCGTCACAATGTCACAGCACGACTTTTCAAACAACAGTTACGATGTTTGATGGAGTTTATCGTGAAGCAACGGGGTGCTGTTAGATGCTAGATGTACTCTGTTGAGTGCCAAAAGAGAGGTTTGCCGCACGCGCACATTCTTCTTTGGATGGTGGACCAGATCAAATTGATGGACTCATTTCTGCGGAACTTCCTGATGCAGAGAAAGTTTCAGTATTATACGAAGAGTGAAAACCAATATGGTTCATGGACCTTGCAGACACCACAATCCCTTTTCGGTTTGAATGTCTGAAAATAAATGCACGTAGCACTATCCAAGTGCTTTTCTTTCGGAAACACAAACTAGAAAAGATGGATATCCACTGTATCGGCGTCGCTCACTCATTTGGAGGCGTGAATATCGACAACACATCGAAATTGACAACACATGGATCGTCCCATATTCGCCACTGTTGTCTAATTCGCATTCAAAAGTCATGTAGTTTGGTGTAATCGATAAAAAAAACGTTTGTAATTACGTCACCATAGGAAGCAATATGGCAGTTATTGGTCTTGAACGATACGGTCAATACGTGAACTGCAATAAAGCGCTTTGTAGGATAGTTAATTTTGCAATTCATGAACGTTTTCCGACTGTTGTGCGTCCCGCAGTTAATTTGAAGACTGACCAAATAATCTATTTCAACCCAGAGAATACACTTCAACCAGTGGAAACACCGCCAACAATAAAATTAACATTTACGAGTTTTTTCTCAACTTTCATCAGTGAACCGTTTACGAGAACATTGTTCTATCTACCTTGATATTATACATGGAATGCATCGTCGAAAAAATATTTACACAGAAAGCAAGGGCAACCAGTAGATTGACATCCACGTATGTTCTCAACTAATGGATTAGGACGAATTTACACAATCCACCCGCAAAAACAACGATGGCTTCCACCTTTTATTGCGTACAGTGAATGGTACGATGTGTGTAAGTTTTGGAGAATCAGCCATTAATTACAATTGCTGGAACATGATAATCAATGGAAGCAAACGATAGATGATTCGATAGCTACTTAGAATGCGGTGAAATTTTTAAATTCTTTGGAGAGGCTTGGTATGCCACTGCATCATTTGCGTCTCAAAGTTGGATCTGTAGTTATTAAGTTTCGCAATTTTCATGCGCCGAAACTGTGTAATGGAACCCAACTGATTGTAACGCATCTATCGAATACAAAGGGGCTGAATGCTTGATTATTGATTTTTTTTGATTTTGTTATCAAACTAACCGTATCGTTATCGATTGGTTATCCAAATATTGCTTCGGCACCACACATTATTGCCAATGGCTTCAAGAATCTGTTGGCTATTGCTGCTGCCACCGAAGTGGACTTCGAGGAAGCTGCTACCAGCAAGGAGTTCATCAAGGACCCCAGCAAGTTTGTTGCTGCTGCTGCTGCCTCTGCTCCAGCTGCTGGTGCTGGCGCTGCTGTCGAAAAGAAGGAAGAAGCCAAAAAGGAGGAGTCGGAGTCCGAGGAAGACGATGACATGGGTTTCGGTCTCTTCGACTAAACAACTCAGCACTAAAGTTAGTTTGTTACTTGGGAGAATTAAATGGCAATCATTATATTCAATAAATATGTTCAAATTTTCAGGTATGAATTATATAATTTATTTACAATGGATTTTTTCTTTCAGCTAAATTAAGAAATTTGTTCCATCGCATGACTTGTTAGATGTCAAAGCCTTTTTACGAACTCTATAAATAAAAAGCTTGCTTGCTTATAAATGCTGTCATATGTCTTGCCGATCAAATTATCTTAAACATTTTACATGGATTATTCACAAAACAAAGTTATAATATCCGAAGGAATGTTCCAGATCGAGGCAAACAAGTATTTTGTGTAATTGTGTGAGGAAAAAATACTATTATCTATTGATTATTTGAGGTCTCTACTTTGATTGTGTTAATAAAATTGGTATTGTCGGTCACAAAAACGACGTAAAGCCAAGCGTCAAACCAAAAGGAACCATGTAATTGAACACCTTGAATTCAGTAAGTACATGTTCACTAAAAATATGTGTACCGAAATTATATACGAAACAAAGTAAAAGGGTTTGCAGTTGGGATGTGCTACTACATCTGCCATATCTTACAATATTGGCACTATTGGGCTGTTACTTCTTCCGTTCCCTGGAAAATTTGACAGAAGAGAGAACCTCACCTAAAGTCAGAACGTTAAGAATCACTTGGAGCATTGCTTTGCTGCAAGGATCAACATTTTTATGAACGTGAAATCAATCTTCTGCAAAAGAGATGGCAAAAGACATAGGATCAAAATATAAAATTTCATAAAATATTTTACATAATTAAAAATTGTGGTTGAATTATAAAACGACCCAATAGTGTCTAATTGATTGGATGAGGTGGTTAAAGTCAAACAAAGCCAAACAATGTTTTGCCACCTTGCTTAAGAAAATCCTCATTTATAAATTTCGAACCGAACTTAAACACCATTTTAAAAAGTATCATTTAGTGTCCCAAAAATTCATTCTACACTCCATGTATCAATTGGCTTAAGAAAACACTATGGATAGTAAGGAAGATATGGACTCTTTTTTTTTAGAACTTTTCAATAGGTAAATAAAAAACGGAGCGTTTATACGAAAACCCTGAAGAAGGTTAAACTTATGACTTGGCGCTATTAATATGGATAGAAATGACTACCAACGAATTGTGTGTAGTTTTGTCATTGGCTCAAAATGATAAACATATTTTTCTTCTTAATGTTTATCATTAGATCAAATCTGACACGAATTGAAAAAAAAAAAAGAAATTTACGCATTTCAATAGAAATATTTATTATCGCCTTCAATTACCGATTATATCTCAAAAATGTTGCATGTGATAAAAGCACTTTTGAAAACACATTAAGCACTTAATCAGTCAGTCATTGCTCTTTACCTCAATATCTGGATTTTCACAACATAAAGTTGCCCTTCCAATTCAACGGATGAGGACAACATAATATTTTTTATGCGGTAGCTGTGCCACAATAATGCAGTGTTAATTCCAACTTGGTGATTCGTGCCGATAAGCATGGTAGTTATAAGTGTGAGTGTAATTGTCGGGATCGTAAGAAATCATTAAACGATTGGTATAATGTTGCTTCTTCCCAGACAAGCATATTCTTGCCGAAGGCGTGGGCGAGTGGAGTGTGCCTGTGCGGGATGCGGATGTATAAACGTAAATTGAAATCTTTTTAATTTCATACAGATAAAACCCCACTCGACAATATGTTACGCATGGGTTGTCTTACTCTGGACTTGATGTTGTTGCACGATAATAATTTTTTTTAGATACAAACGCTTGATATACTAAATTGTTCAACCCTTTTATCCCAAACTTTTATTTAATTTTACTTATACTTTCATTAATTATACATTTGCAAAAACAACTTGTTGCTGCAGAGTGTAATAGCTTTGTGCACCTAGAGGTTTTCTGTATCACCTAAAAATAATTGAGTTAGACATAGGGTTATGTATTTAGTAATCAGCATGACGAGATTGAGCTATCTTGATGAAGATTGGTTTTTAGAACCAGGAAAATATTGGTGTTGTGGATGGATGTAATCGAACCATTGCCAGGCCTGCAAAAAGTGAAGTGTAATAATATTATAGGTTTAATTTAATATTTACATATATTGTGAAATTTTTAACTAATCGACCACCGTGCATCTTTGAAAAACTCAACACTTCGGCAGCTGCATATAAAAATACCTTATCACGATGACGCTAAAGCATCGACTCCATTGCCATTCAATGTAATTGAAGTATGTTTGTGGTTTTTGTAATTTTACACATTTGTTGTTGTTACCGCGTTTTCCGGCATTTAAATGGCTGTTGGGTTGGAAGATGTTCGGTGGTTGAAAGCTGTTTGTCTTGATGACGCTCTCACAGAGGGCAGTGTAGCATTGCATGAAGTTGAAGCGCGTGTGGGTCCTTGATGACGGTAAAAATATTAAACACGCAATTTGTCGTACAAGCCGTAGGGCGTTTTAAGTGTTACTACAACACGTGCGCAATCAAAAACAAACAAGGGAAGCGGCAGAGAGAAGAAAGTGAGAGCAAAAGATGGGTGATGTCGTTACGCAGACTCGACTACTCGACATTCATAAATGCATATAAGCATTTCGTCCCTTTTACTATTTCCACTTTGTTGTTGTTTAATGCTTGCATATGTGGCGAGCGTCAATGCATCTTAGGGTGCCTGCAGAGTTGGACGCTCAAAACCGTGCTGAACGCAAAGCTGACGAATGCGAGAAATTTGCCTCAAAAATGTGTGCATACATTTTCCTACGAAATTACACAAATTATTTGCATGGTGCATTGAACACTGACCAAAGCCGAAGCCGGAGCTTATTAACGCGGAAAAGCAGTTTAGAAGTCCTTTATGGAGAGGACTTCCGTCTTGCATAGTGTTTTTGCGCATTGGTATCATATTTTAATTAAAAAGGGAGTGTTGTCGAACAATATTTACAATACCCGCTATTAACATTTTCAAGGGAAACTTATGAAGGAAATTCTCACTCCATCTGATTTTGCTTGATATCTACTCTTAATATATTCAATGCCAAATATATGACGTCATTTTTCTAATCTATCGAGAAATAGTAAAATCCTATATTTTTTACGCACAAAACATTCATTACTTAACTTTATTTCTATGTGTTAAATAAATTGATGTTCGAACTAAATATTTTGCAGATAAAAGAAGTTATTATGAAGAAGAAACTTAAGACAATAAAATAGTGTATAGCAAAGTACGTGCGGTACCCGAAATATAATCAGCACTGATCGAAATCTGCTTTGCGCTCAGCTTAGCTTTGAGCAATTACTCTCCAGCACCCTTGAATCGAAATACGGGCAACCAATTCAAGCGCAAGAATGCATTGCAGTCTTTGAGTTACGTATGTTTGTATGCCCACAGTAGTAATCATCCTCCTCACTATATGAGCCGTGCAATTTTATCATAAATCGTCTTCAGTTTGCCTTGATTTTCTCTTATTCCGTGGTTCAACTGCTTTACTGTTCCACATTTCACTTACATTTATCCGTTAGATGTTGGAAGTTCCAGCAGAAATTTGCTGCTTCGCTTATATGCAATCCCTTAACCGTTATGTTGTACCGGTGTTACCATTTAAGTTGACGATCGAGTTCGTTATTTTTTCTTTTTCTTTCCGAGTGCTTATCATTGAACCGTAGCAATTATGTTTTTTGCCTTTATTTCAATCAGCGGTGTCTGCATTTTGCACTCAACCCTTGGCAAACTTCCAACGTAGCACCCATCATCCGCACCCGCACGTCGCGACGCCAACAATCGTGCAGCTGAAGACACCGTCATTATCGTTTTTAATCTCGCTTAGATGCCTCCTTTTCTCATGGTCTTTCCAGGCTTCCCACTGCTGCACTCTGTGGCATCCTGTTATCGGTCTCATGCTGTGCCGTTATGCCGCGCAAATGTTTGCAATGGCAGCACGACTTTTAAACCCTTTCTCGGTTTCTGATGTCAGCGTTTGCGTTGAATTTATTTCGTACAATTTCTACTTTATTCTTTCGTTTGTATCTGATATCTGTGACAAACAAATCACACAATGGTACATGGAACATAGCACACAGTTTAAGACCAAACCCTACCGTCTATACCGGTCTATCCTCCAGACTGTTGGGTAGCCTGTAAGTACTCAAAATATGTATATATGTATTCGTAAGGGGACTTTACTCCACAGCAAATTTGTATTCTCAATTGTTTTCCTCTTTTCTTAACCCTTGCGGTTCCCTTCTCGTTCTTAACCACAAATAACCATTACATCTTTCGTATCGATTTCTTTCGATGCGTTGAGTTAATGAGGGGAAATCTTTTCTTTTTATGACAAGAAATTTAATGACAAACCTTGTCAACACAATTGAAAATAAAAGAAAATACATTATACTGGGGTGAAAGAAAACAATTATTTCGTTACATCTTATGCTTTTTCGGTGGTTTGAGTGAATTAGCTAAAATCTCACAAGGTTTCCTGTTATTATCGGTACTCAATGATTTTCAAAGGAGCGCGCGGAAGTGCTCTAGTATGATGACTTGGTAACGGTTGGACGATGCTAAGTTACACGGCATTGCTTTTTATTAGTTATCAACCTATAGAGAAACAAGTAAAGAAGGGCTAAGTTCGGGTGCAACCGAACATTTTATACTCTTGCAACTTGCAAAAATCAATGCCGGGGAAGTACTATAAGGTATAAAACTAATCCGAATATTCCAAAATCCTGATATTAGTTATATGGGGACTAAGTCAAGCTTTTGCTCAAATTTGTCTATTTAAGGCACAAAGATCCACTATTATAAATAAAACCCACTCTCTTATACTTATTGAGATAACTCACATATTAGACTATATATGCAATACAAAGTCGCCCCGAATTTCGAAAATCTTTATATTAAATACATGGGGGGAAGAAAGTTGTGGTCCGATTCAACCTGTTTTTGACATTTCAATTAAATATAGCACGCATTG